ATTGTAAAAATTTGTTAAGCTTCCTTAGAGCTGTGTCCCAGAACATCGGGAATAAAAACTTTAAACGGGCAAATCTTTAAAAAGTCATTATTGAATTACAGGTAGTTTTAAAAAACAAAGTAGTTTTCAAAAACATTGATATTTGTCAATGTCGGGAAGTGGGCACATGAAATTTTATATGCCGAATCTTATATACAACAAGACATGCTTCAAATTTGAGCAAGCCTAGCCTCCGCAAGCCTAGCCTCGGCATGTAACCTTGATGAAAAACCTCAACTTGTCGTTATTGCAATCCCGGGGAAAAGAGGAGCTACCAGTACTTCTAGTCTGTCGGGACTATAAACTGTTGATGATCAAATGTATCCTTGGTCTTTCCTTGGAATGATTTGACATGGGGTCGAACCAGAGAACCACATAGTCTGGTACCAAGGGAACCGGTAGCACGCCGAACAGTGTTTCCGGACTTTGTCTTGTCCCGGTTAAACCCAAATTCGCGGAAAGAAAATGTCGGTTAGAAGATTGATGTACGTTAAAGTCTTAAGTGTATGTGTTAAGTGTATATGATACTGGATGAATTTGGGGGTATACGGAACTTGCCCGCCGTATACCTATAGTGAGTGTGTCAGATTTTGATCTCTACGAGTGTGTCAAATGAGAAGTGTGCTGTGTTGAATGGTGATGGATGAAAGGTATTTTGAATTTTCCTTCCTGGTTCAGGTATGTTCAGGTTATACTCTCTTCATACCAGATTTACCACAGTGTGAGTAAGAACAAAATCCTCTTCTTATTCGGTCTACCGAATACGTCCCGACTCAACAGAGTCCATCCCATCTGCGAGGTTGTAAACGGAAGTGATATTTTGTAATGGTCAGAGATTAGATAGCTCGAGACTAATCAGCCACAGGTGGCCTCTGGTAGGTTTTTGGTTAGTGTTCTAGACTGGTAAACCGGAGGTGGTTCGATTCCCATCTGAGACACTGGTAAAGGAGCGCACAACACTAGGTGTATTTCTTCGGATTTGATGTACATACATCCTCCTTTCAAACTAACTAACTACAGTTCTCCCCATAATAGATATATGCCCCATTGAAAACCTTACACCGCTATAATTCTTATATATTGAGAATACATACATACTTATGTATACTATATCGATGTGTCAAAAGCGGAATGACTAAATCAATAAATTACATTTTTTTTCCAAATTCCATACAGTTTATTTCATAACAGATATCAGCCTCCTGGAAGGACGCACATAAACCTATTGCTTTCAACAGACAGACGAACTAACAGTCTAGTCTATAGTCTAGCCTATAGTCTAGCCTATAGTCTAGTCTATAATCTAATCTATAGTCTACGGATATAGCTAGATCGTCTTAAAATCGAATAAATACTTTTATGGGCGATGTACGTACATATGTAAGTGTTGTAACAACATTAATCAATCTCATAAATTTTGTATGAAACGGATCATTATAGGCCCTAGCCGTGGAGGCTGGACCCATCGATGTAGGTGACATTTTCAAGAGTGCGATTAGGATTTTAGTTTGGAAATATAATTTCTTTTTAAAAAATTATTTATTAACAACTAATTTTCGCATTAAGTCATAATTTCGCTTAGTCGCTGCCGCCCTAATTCTGTTGGCAGCATATGATATCAGCTGTCAAAAGCAAGAACTGCCAGATTAAATAAGAAACTTGTCAGAGGAATAATCTGAAGAAATAAATAAATCCATAGAAAGTTCTTTTTATTCTGCAAAACACATCATCGATGTTTAAAAATATATATAAACTTCATCTGTCATATATTTTGCATGACACACAGATCAAATTTTATTTATACTGATTCCTAAGGGATTTTCCAGTCGTTATAATTTATGAATAATTTTCATTGTATCGCTAAAAATATTGCAAACATATAGAAAAATCAAATCCTATTGATTTGTACTAATATCAAATTAAACATTGAATATTTTAACACATTCTAAAGCATAAAAATTTACTGATTAAACATCATGGTAACAGCAAACAGAGGCGTCGTTAGGAAGGGGCTAAGCAGTAATGAGAAATTTGCAGTAAAGCTAATTTATTAAAACCCTCTTTAGAGGACTACACTGTTTTGTACTAAATACATTTATATGTGGATTTTTGTTGTGCGTGTTAGAAGTTTATTCAAAATCGCTACTTCTATTATGCTGGAAAAAAAGAAATGAGGAGGAGGAGGTTAAAGACGATTAATGCATGAGTGATTAGTTTAACGAATGGTTAAATAGACAGATAGATAGCTAGATGTTAGAAACCCAGATACAGCTTGATTAAGTGTGCGGGAGGTATAAATAGAAAATAAATGTTGCTGTTGTTGTTTAGAGATGAATGAACTTATAGCGAGCTTAACATTTTCGATAAAACGGTTTAACCGGCCATGAAGGTGGAATCATTTAACATGTTACCAAAAATTAACAACTTCAACAGAAAACAAAACCATGCCAAACGATGACAATGCCATCACTACTTGTTATTTTCTAAAGTAAGATTCTTAATTTTTTGTTTGTACTTTTATATTTTTTTTGTTTTAAATTGCGTTAATGGAGGTTTTGTAAAAAAAATAAGTGGAATTTTCCGTTGTTGTGTTTTAGTAATCCATTAAGTTGATTTATTTTTTGTCAAATTTCTCTAATGTATCTTACGGTTGATGGTTATTTGATGCATTTAAATTGTGATTTACTTGGATTTTTTTATTATTTTTTTGTTATAATAAACCTTGAAAATTATTACTATAAAACTAACATACAAATGGTATTCATGTAGTTTTGCTTAGCTTCATAACTTTGTAGAATAGCGCGTTTATGTTTATTCATTTGCTTTTAATTACTTAAAATAATGCAAAAATTTTAAATTTCTATAAAATGTGAATGATTTTTTAAAAGTTTTTTTTTTTTTTTTTTAATAAAATAAAAGTATTTGCTTAAGTTTTATCATGTATATTCCAAATATTTTAATTACCACATTGTTCAATGATTTAAATATGTATAAATTATTTGTTTAAGTGGTCGTTTGTGCAAGTATGTTTGGTATTTACAGTAAAGAGCAAAATAAAATCTAAGGAAATTAATTAAAGTTAAAATTAATTAAAATCCACTTAAGTACATATCATATAAAAATATAATAGAAAAATATAGACTAACCTATAGTCTCGTCTATAGAGTGATCTTTAGTCTCACCTACAAACTGATCTATAGTCTCGCCTATAGACTGGTCCATAGTCTTGCCTATAGACTGATGTATAGTCTCGCCTATAGACTGATATATAGTCTCGCCTGTAGACTGATATATAGTCCCGCCTATAGACTGGTCTATAGTCTTGCCTATAGACTGATGTATAGTCTCGCCTATAGACTGATATATAGTATCGCCTGCAGACTGATATATAGTATCGCCTGCAGACTGATATATAGTCTCGCCGATAGACTGGTCTATAGTCTTACCTATAGACTGATCTATAGTCTCGCCTATAGACTGATCTACATTCTCCCCTATAGACTGGTCTATAGTCTTGCCTAGTGACTGATCTACAGTCTCGCCTATAGACTGATGTATAGTCTCGCCTATAGGCTGATATATAGTCTCGCCTGTAGACTGATATATAGTCTCGCCTATATACTGCTCTATAGTCTTGCCTATAGACTGATGTATAGTCTCTCCTACAGACTGATGTATAGTCTCGCGTATAGACTGATATATAGTCTCGCCTGTAGACTGATATATAGTCTCGCCTATAGGCTGGGTATAGTCTTGGCTATAGACTGATATGTAGTCTCGCCTATAGTTAGAATGAACTATAGTCTCGCCTATAGACTGGTCTCTAGTCTTGCCTATAGACTGATCTATAGTCTCGCCTATAGAGTGATCTATAGTTTCACCTACAAACTGATCTATAGTCTCGCGTATAGATCCATGGTCCATAGTCTTGCCTATAGACTGATCTATTGTCTCGCCTAAAGACTGATCTATAGTCTCGCAAATAGACTGGTCTATTGTCTCGTCCATAGGTGGTCTATAGTCTCGTCTATAGACTGGTCTATAGTCTCGTCTATAGACTGGTCTATAGTCTCGTCTATAGACTGGTCTATAGTCTCGTCTATAGACTGGTCTATAGTCTCGCCTATAGACTGGTCTATAGTCTCGTCTATAGACTGATCTATAGTCTCATCTATAGACTGATCTATAGTCTCGTCTATAGACTGATCTATAGACTGGCCTATAGTCTCGTCTATAGACTGGCCTATAATCTCGTCTATAGACTGATCTATAGTCTCGCCTATAACAAAATAGTCTACTTCAACTTTTTGGACTTACTTTTTTAGGCGATTGTTCGAAAGTCGATACCATACTAACATGTGATCACGATGATCACATAATATTTACTGGGTGCTAGGGTTACCATAGACGTAAAGCTATAGGCTTCGTTTTTGGGTTAAATACAACAAATATTCCGGATTCATTCGGAACTGAAATCTGGCTAAGTCTTAAAGACTATGCATCTAATTAAAAGTGTTGCAAATAATGAGAAACATTTTAATGCTCTTACAACTATATTCTTGCCCACTACTATCAATAATGACGTTTTTAAGTGTTTTCCTAAAAATATATCAACGAAAGTGTTAAAATATAAATAAAACATTGAACATGAAAAAAAACTTTCTAAATTTATTAAATTTCTCATCAAATGATTTTCTTTATATGATGTTTTTTTTTTTTTGTTAAACGCCATTACAACCTATATGGGAGTGTTTAGTTGTATGTGTATGTCATTCGAACGTTGATAGAGTATCGCCTGTAGTCATAAATATGTGTCCGCCACATGAATTGGGTTAAGGTCGGCTGTAAAAAAAATCGAAGAAATAAAGATCTCTAAATATATATGTATCTGCATTATAATTAGCATATGGTTACGAGATAATTATTTAATATTTGTTTTTTTGTTTTGTATTTTCTTTCAGGTATGTGAATTTATGAATAAAACCCGATACAGAGATTTTTGTTTTTTACCATCCACATATAAGATGATAATAATATGATGCTATTGAAAGTTAACGGTTGTTAAGTAAGTAAAAAAAAAAGAAATAACGAAAAAATTTAAGAAAACAATAAAACATGGTAGATGAGGAAGGAAACAAAAAGTAAACATAAATATTAAACAGTGATGCCAACTATTGTTGTTAGTAATATTAATATATGTTGCCAATATTTTAAATATGTCACAGATTTTTGTTTTTGTATTATTGGCAACCTGTTTGAAGAAATATGTTGCAATTTTTGTAAAATATACTACAGTAAACCTTAAGTAAGTTAACTTATACAAATTTTTAAGCTTTTTTATACATACATACATAGATATGAGTAAGTAGGCTTGTCAAATAGCATAATAAATTTGGTTCGCCCATGCCATATTTTCCCGAAACTACAAACCTCTTTAAGCATGTGACAGTTAATCGAGGTTTACTGTATGTTGTTAATACAAAAAACGGTATAGATATTATTCAAAATTTTGAAATAAATACCACATTCATGTCGTTAGACTTTAATAAGACCATTGTCATTCATAAAAACTACAAAAATATTCGGTGTTTATTTAAAAGTACCATAATTTATTATATTTTCATTGTATTTTATACATTTTTAACTTATACTTATGAATAATGTTACACAAGTCATTTATTTTCCCATATTATTTTTGTATTGATCGTTAATATAAAATTGATTATAAACAAAAAACCTAATTTATGTTTTTTTAAAGTTTATAATGAATGTATTGTTTCTTACATCATGTTACATTATGCTGAAAAAAATCCATTGTTAAAGCTTTTTTTTGTCTGATTTCTTTTTGTTGTGACCATCATAAACAAATAAGTGGGGTTTGTCAATCCATTGGTAACATATGGAAATATTTGCTTTTTGATCCACTGGGTTCTTATAAAACTCTAAGATGATCTTTTGATATAGCAATAGGAGAGATAAAAATTTACCCAAATTTCTATTTTTGGTAATTGAAATCCCAATGAGGACTGAATGGGCGGAGCTAGGAGACTGGACATTTTCACAAATACTTCCTATTGATAATATTTGTTTAATATTAAAAATAATCCATTTTTGTCCAAATTATGAGTAAGTAAACGGGCGGAGCTAGTAGGATGAATATTAACAAGTAAGAGTCTTACATTCGGCCATTGTCGAAAAGGAATGATTCCTTATAAATAAAAATTTGATATTTACGAACCGATGCTCTTGTTAATATCGAAAAAAATTTTCTAATTTATCATATATTTATCATAGTTAGTTAGTTAGTTTGAAAGGAGGATGTATATACATCAAATCCGAAGAAATACACCTAGGCCTCTATCGGACCTGTTGTGCGCTCCTTAACCAATGCCTCAGGTGGGAATCGAACCCACCACCTCCGGTCTACCAGACTAGAACACTAACCACTAACCTACCGGAGGCCATATATCATATATGTATATCATATATCGATATTAATATGAAATTCAGGGTAATATTTGGAGAAGATTTTAATGAGGACTTATGTATGGACCGTGCTCTTCCGAATTAAAAATATTAATTTTTAAAAACAAATCTTTTTTTTCACATTTTATAACTATAACTAATTATATAACTATATGTCAAAGGGGTTATATGGAGTAGAGTTAATTATGGACCTATCCTCATCGGTTTAGACAATAATTATTTCTTTCGAATTTAATCGCAGTACTCGTATCTTTAATACAGTTATGAGTTTTAAGGTAATTTTCTGAAGGAAACCGATAATGGGGGGTTAGATTAGGGTTCTATAAATCGACTTTCAAATAATCGAACAATCGACTTTTTGTCGAAAAAAGTCGAAGTCGACTATTTTGTTCCAAAAAAGTCGATAACTCGACTATCGTCTATGAAAAAAGTCGAAATGTCGACTTTGTAAATAAAAGTCGAAAAAAGTTCAAAAGTCGGAAAGTCAATAAAAGTGGAAAAAAGTCGAAAAGTCGAAAAAAGTCGTAAACAGTGGAAAAGTCGTAAACAGTCGAAAAGTCGAAAAAAGTTGGTAAAAGTCGACAACTCGAAAATAGTAGAAAAAAGTCAAAAATTGTCGAAAATTTAAAAAAGTCAAAATCTCCGAAATAGTCGGAAAAAACTTGGAAAAAAGTCGAAAGAAGTCGAAAATATTCAAAAAATCGAAAAGTCGGAAAAACTCGAAAAGTCTACTATTTATAAAATACTAAAAGTCAAAAAGTCTAAAAGTCGACTTTAATTAAATGAAAAAAAGTCAAAAAATCGACTTTTCATAAAATGCAAAAAGTCGACTTTTAACTAAATGCCAAAGTCGACTTTTCGTTTCAACTATATAACCCTAGGTTAGATCAGTAATCGGCCAATCCTCATCAAATTCAAATTATTGAGCGTTAAAGTCATTTTCTGAAGTGGACCTTATTAGACCGATCTTCATAAACTTTTGCACTATGTTTCGTAAAGAAGTTTTTTATTTCAAATTTCATCGCCGTAAGTCGTATTTTTAAGTAACTAATGAGAGTTAAAGTAATTATTGATCAATCTTCACCGAAGTTGGTAGGAAGATTTCAGTTCCAATAAAACTTGTTTATGTCAAATTTCATAGATCTGCTGGTATTTTTATGCCAGCAATGAGCGTTAAAGTCATTTTCTAAATGTGACCTTTTATGGGTGGTAGGGTCAAATATGGACCGATCCTCATAAAAATTGCTAGAGTGATTTTGGCTTATATGAAACTTATTTATGTCGAATTTCATTGCTATTTAAAAACAGTAATGCCAATTAAAGCTGTTTTTCGGGGGTCCATCAGAAAACGTGGATCGATATTGCCCATTTTCAATACCAAACAAACCTTACCTCTTTCCGTTCGGCCTCTATTGTGCTTTTAACAGAAATGGATAGATCGTCTTAGAATTTTAAGTATGACTTAAATTTTCAAGTACTAAAAGTGAGTAAATCAAACTTAAATCTAAAAAAAGATTTTTGTTTTTGCTTATGACTGCCAAAAACAATTCAATATAATGCGGCCTAAACAAGTCCCTTTTGAACCAGTGAAAACTTTTTAAAATTGTGGTTCACATGTTATTCGACATATGCCGTTTAACACACTGTTTTTTTTTTCTTACTTAATATTTAATTTTTGAAACACGTGATTTTTTTCTTGTTGGTTAAACTTTTTTGGTTGCTATTCGTACAACTTGGAATACCAATTACTTTTTTTTTTGGAAAATAAAATTTGTTTTGTAGAAAGTTTTTCTTATTAGTTTTTTTTTTTTGTAAAAAAACAGTTTTATGCGATTTTAACTTACATATTTATAACTTTTACTTTTTTTGGTTTCCAAAAAAAAAAAAAAAAAAAAAAAAAAAAACGAAGAGGAAAACAAAAAAACCGGTCATATATTGTACTAGTATTAATTTTACATTTTGTTCATTGTACTTGCAAGAGTACTGTTTTGTTTGTTTTTTGTATTTGCTTCTTCGTTCATGTTTCTTATCGTAGGAATAATAAATTTTAACGGTAATTATATAGAAATTATATTGTGTTTAACGTTTTGAATTAAACTACAATTAATTTTGAACAGTAAGTTAATGGGCAGGGGTTTCAAAGATTTGAAACTTTTAATATTTGAGGAAGATTTATAACATTCAAATAACAGCATAATAATAACTTCTATAGAACTACTATATAATGACTTTCAAAAAATATCATAGATACATAACTTCTACGCCCCCAAGTAATATCAAATCATATGAGTTAAATCGTTATCTTAGTACGCAAACGTGTCCAGTCCTCTTCAACTCCCTATTTGCAGGCGATCATGGTAAGAAGTTACTTAACTACTTATTTGTTACTTACTTACTTATTTAACCTATTTGTAAGGGAGTATGGTAAGTACTTACCTTCAATGTCATATACGTGTTTAAATAATGACTTAAAATACTATTTCAGCTTTTCAACAAAGCGTCATTTTTCAAAGTAAGTTTTTGCTGGGTAGACCATTATGTAGACATTTGCTTATTAAATTATTATTGGTTTTTCCATCAATAATTAAACTTTGAACTAATTTTATTAAAAAATATTATTGGTTTTTCCACTCATACTTAAACTTAGAACAGATTTCATTAAAAAATGTTTTAATCATCAATTTTATATTTGAAATCTTCTTCATCTTTTTTAAATTGTTTATATTCAATATATAAATAATTATATAAAAATGTTTTCATCTAGATTATAAGCTGAATTATTTCATTAACAATTTAGATTCGTGGAAATTTCAGCAATTTGTTTTTTTTTTTTTCGTTTGCAAAACTGTAAACAATTTCCATAAAACTAAACAAACCAATATTTAATTTTCAACTCAAAGTTCAGGTGAATTGAAAATATTTTTCCATTTGCTGTTTATTGTCTGTTATTTGTTTAGTGGTTTATTTATCGAATACCCCCAAAAAACAAATGTAACAGTTAAATGTGTGTAAATTGGGAACTGGTTCAAGCTCTATTCATGTTGATTTAAAATATAATATTTATTTTTTTGCAAATGCTATATTTAATTGGAAAGTTGCTAATAATGTTTTGCGAAAGAATTAAAGCTGTATTGTCTGAACTGAAGGCGACTTCTGAGAGTTTTGAAAGTTCAAAAGCCTTTAAGAAAAGTCAACAATTTATCTATTCACTGCTTATCATAATTCCATCATTACTGGCAATGAAAATGGGGATCTAACTACTTTCAAACATCCGAATCGACGCCAAAACAATGGAATCAAGCAATTCCCCTGTATTTGGTGGGACCAGAATGGTTCCATTTGTTATTAATACTCAAAATGCTTTAGATTATCATAGGATATCTCTATTAAACATAATAGTTACGTTTCTGGAATATACGACCAGATATAAAGCTATAATATTCCAGAATATCCATGGCTTCTCCTATTATTGTGAATTCGAGCCTGATGGTTATAGTGGAACTGTACTGAATACAAAAAAGTTTTAAGCGATCATTGACCAAAAATCTCTTCGATTATTTGTCCAAATATAAAGCCATA